ATTCTAGTAAATAAATTTTTTTTACTGTTTAAAAATTGTTTAGTACATATAACGGGTTTAAGTAGCTATTGTCCTCATTAATTAATGTTAATATTTTTTTGTTAAAAAAAACACACACACAGAAACAGGGCAAATGCGGAGTATCTACACACCGATCCTCATTTTCGCTTAGCTCAATGGCAAAGCATAACCTGCACATGAACCCCAAGTCAAGGTGGACAAAACCAACCAGACTTTAGGAGTAGACAATGAAAAACTTGAAAACTAAAGACAAGAAAAGAAAATAAAGAGTGCTTTTTGTACTCAGATATTAATAAAATTATCGTTAAAAAAAAGGGGAGGCAAGGTGGGGGCGGGAGAGAGAGAAAAAGGAAAGGATAGGGGAACCGGCAAGGCCGCTTCCCCTCCTTGTGTGCGGCTATCATATCATTTTCTTGAAGGCCTATTTGGTCATACGTCATAGGATCAGTTTATTAGAAAAATTTTTATTAAAAAATTTAAAAAATATTCTGTAAAAAATTAAAAAGTATTGTGTAAAAAATTATTAAATTATATAATAAAATTTTATTTAGTTATTAATTTTATTGTGTTTAATGAAAAATTAATAAAAAGAAAGTTATATTATAAAGTAAATCCAATACAAAAAAACGTACAAGAAAACATTTTAATTTTAAAATTAATAGAAAAAACTTCATAATTTAAAAATTTTGTGTTTGCGAAAATAAGTACTCAAAATTATAATTTTATCCTCCTTTTATTAGAGTATTAAAATGTAGAAATACATAAATAATCTTATAAAAAAATTTAAAAAAATTACATCTAACCAAACACCCCTAAGAGAGAGGCGGTAGCTAGTAAAATTAAAGGTTTTTTGCGGCCCATTTTTAACATCCAAATTAAAATTAATTAGCCATAAAAAAAAGACATAACTCATGATGTATTAAACATGCATTACTCCTTTTGAACATTTTACACTTAGTACAAACGGGCAAACGGGTTTCATTAACTCTCTTTCTCTTTCTCTTTCTTCTACTTACCATATTTCTAAAGGCTAGCCATGGAACCAGCTTATTTGAGAATGGTACGCTTCAAGTTCCAGATATCATCATCCCAAACGATATCACCAAGTTGATGAGGATTATCATACGCCTTGTCAACAAAATCAAAATCCCAAAACGGTGACCACACGTACCCCCACCACATTTGCTCATCCGCCATGCCGTTCATCCATGGCCAACACTCCTCCCACCACTTCACATTCTCCTTCTTCATTGATGATGAGTCCGTCTCTTCCTTCCCGTCCACCTTGCTGATCTCCACAGCGCTCTTGTTTTTCTTCTGAGGCACGGCCGTCGCCATTGCCGCTATCCTCCCTTCAGATTCTCCACCTCTCACAATGGCATTTTCCTCGTCCCTCTGCCGTTTCATTTTCCACCGTTTCTAGATTTTTCCAAAAGAGAGAGATTGATTTCATAAATTAGACGGCAAGGAGAGTGAAGAGGACTGAGAATATTTATGGTGGAAGAGGGGACGTTTGGGTAAATATATAGTTCACTAGATGGTAATGAAAAGAAAAGCAAGAAACTTTCTTCTATATATGCCACGAAAGATTCATGAACGGAACGACCCTTTACGTAAATAAAACTTTAAGAAACTGAATGGGATAAAAAGGATATATATTTACTAGACTGTTACATAGTGCACGGGGTGTTGATATAAGAATGATTTTTTATATTATTATTTTTATATGATTTTTATATATTATTAAATAAATAAATAAATTTAATATTATAAATCCTAAATGAATAAAAAGAGTCATTCATTTAAATGATACATAAAAATTATAAAAAAAAAAAACAAAAGATTGTTTCTAAATTATTTTCTCTTAATGCCCCTATGGTTTTGAGACAAGAACGATAGGGTAGCCAAATATATATGGTAAAAAATTATATCAAAATCTTAATTTTTTTATCTTTTAATTTCACTTTTGTTGAATACTCCTTTCCATTTTAATTTAGCGTTTTAATTTGATTTTTTAATTTTTTAAATATAAATTTTAAATAAAAAGTTAATAATATATGTAAATAACAATTAATTTTTTTACATATAATTTTTGTTGAATATTTTTATTTAATAAATAAATTTTTAATTATTATTTTTTATAATATATTAAATTTTCATATAAAATTTATGTCTAAAAAATTAATTAAAGAATTAAATTAAGTATATTAAATTTAAACAAAAAGAATATATATTTTTGAGAAACTGGTTGGTGTAAGAAAGATAAAAAAGTGAATTTTAATTGTCTACATTGGGTTATATAGGTTGACAAAGAAAAAAGAAAAGGACTACTAGTTAAAGTAAATTTTACAAGTTTTTTACTTTTTAAATGTTGAAGATGAAATTCAAATTTTACACCCACCAAACTTAATATGAGAAATTTTATAAGAAAGAAATGATCATTAACCCACCACTACATTCTCAAATTCTGTGGGTTTTGGCATTTATTAAGTGCAAGGAAATCATTTTGGCAAGAAAAAGAAAAGAGAAGGGGGTGTGAGGAAAGCATTTGATTGTCATGCCAAAACTGTCAAACAGTATGAGATGTCATATAAAATGCATGCCTTCCAAATGTCGAAAAAAACGTTTAAAAGGCAATGACTTTGACTAGAAACGGAAGGTAAATCCTCTGGAATCAACAAAATATTAAGATTGTTTGTCTCTATCTAATATGAGTCAGACAACCTTTACACATGTAAGTTTTTATCAGGTATATAATTTTTTTTATTTTAAATTACATAATTAAAAAAATAATTCCCTTAATTTTTTAATTAATTTTATTTACATGTAGTTTAAATTTAATATTTTATATTTATATTATAAAAAAATTATTATTAAACTATTTAAATTCGTTTGTTTTATAAACTTAAATTGATGGTGTTATA